TTCGTGGGCTCTTGGGAGGCCCAGCGGAGGTACGTCCCACGCGGACCACCACCTCGGGACCTCGCAGCCCCCTGGGGGGGGCTTGCGATCTGCGCAAGTGTCGCCATTTATGTGTATTCCTGGGAGGCCCAGCGGAGGCACGTCCCACGCGGACCACCTCGGATCACCTCGGGACCTCGCCGCCCCCTGGGGGGCTTGCGATCTGCGCAATTGTCGCCATTTGCGTGGGCTCCTGGGAGGCCCAGCGGAGGTACGTCCCACGCGGACCACCTCGGGACCTCGCCGCCCCCTGGGGGGCTTGTGATCTGCGCAATTGTCGCCACTCTCGTGGGCTCCTGGGAGGCCCAGCCGAGGCACGTCCCACGCGGACCACCTCGGGACCTCGCCGCCCCCTGGGGGGCTTGCGATCTGCGCAATTGTCGCAAGTTTCGCTGGCTCCTGGGAGACACAGCGGAGGTACGTCCCACGCGGACCACCACCTCGGGACCTCGCAGCCCCTTGGGGGGGCTTGCGATCTGCGCAAGTGTCGCCACGTTCGTGGGCTCCTGGGAGGCCCAGCGGAGGCACGTCCCACGCGGATCACCTCGGGACCTCGCCGCCCTTTGGGGGGCTTGCGATGTTCGCAATTGTTGCCGCTTTCGTGGGCTCCTGGGAGGCCCAGCGGAGGTGGGTCCCACGCGGATCACCTCGGGAGCCGACAACCCCACGCGAATCACCTCGGGACCTCGCCGCCCCCTGGGGGGCTTGCGATCTGCGCAATTGTCGCCACTTTCGTTGGCTCCTGGGAGGCCCAGCCGAGGTACGTCCCACGCGGACCACCTCGGGACCTCGCCGCCCCTTGGGGGGCTTGCGATCTGCGCAATTGTCGCCACTTTCGTGGGCTCTTGGGAGGCCCAGCGGAGGTACGTCCCACGCGGACCACCACCTCGGGACCTCGCAGCCCCCTGGGGGGGGCTTGCGATCTGCGCAAGTGTCGCCATTTATGTGTATTCCTGGGAGGCCCAGCGGAGGCACGTCCCACGCGGACCACCTCGGATCACCTCGGGACCTCGCCGCCCCCTGGGGGGCTTGCGATCTGCGCAATTGTCGCCATTTGCGTGGGCTCCTGGGAGGCCCAGCGGAGGTACGTCCCACGCGGACCACCTCGGGACCTCGCCGCCCCCTGGGGGGCTTGTGATCTGCGCAATTGTCGCCACTCTCGTGGGCTCCTGGGAGGCCCAGCCGAGGCACGTCCCACGCGGACCACCTCGGGACCTCGCCGCCCCCTGGGGGGCTTGCGATCTGCGCAATTGTCGCAAGTTTCGCTGGCTCCTGGGAGACACAGCGGAGGTACGTCCCACGCGGACCACCACCTCGGGACCTCGCAGCCCCTTGGGGGGGCTTGCGATCTGCGCAAGTGTCGCCACGTTCGTGGGCTCCTGGGAGGCCCAGCGGAGGCACGTCCCACGCGGATCACCTCGGGACCTCGCCGCCTTTGGGGGGCGTGCGATGTTCGCAATTGTTGCCGCTTTCGTGGGCTCCTGGGAGGCCCAGCGGAGGTGGGTCCCACGCGGATCACCTCGGGACTTCGCCGCCTTTGGAGGTCGTGCGATCTGCGCAGTTGTCGCCACTTTCGTGGGCTCCTGGGAGGCCCAGCGGAGGTGGGTCCCACGCGGATCACCTCGGGACCTCGCCGCCTTTTGGGGGGCTTGCGATCTGCCCAAATGTCGCCACTTTCGTGGGCTCCTGGGAGGCCCAGCGGAGGTACGTCTCACGTGGATCATTCGGATGTACGTCATACGCGTTTCTTTCAACGGCCCTGTGTTTCCATTTTGTATAGTTGCCGTTCCTCTTCTTGCTGCGCTCTTCTGAAATCATTGGTGGGTGCTCTTCTTGCGCATTGCGGGTCCTTCAGAATGTCAGTCAGCATTGAGTGGTCTTGAGTATAACCGCCACATGTATCGAAAGGGCTGGATACGTCAAAGGGTAATCGGACCCTGACCCCGCCGATCTGCGTGAGGCCACCGAAATCCAAAAATGTGGCAAATCCCATGTGGTTGGTTGACCCTGACCCCGCCGATCTGCTTGAGAGGTGCTACTGACGTTCAAACATGTGGCACATCCCTTGAATTGTTGTACCCTCACCCTGCGGATCTGCGTGAGGGGTGTAAATGTTTACCCCCCCCCCCTCCCCCCCCCAGAATGTCTGAGAACCCTCCCAGTGTGTGGTAGTGCTGTTGGTTTGGGCTCACTCCCTCGCGCGTTCATCAACAAGGAACAGTAAGCAGCAAGAAGCAGAACTGTAATAGTGGAACCTGGAAGCTGCAACTGGTGCAGGGAGAGGCACATTCCTAGCCTACAGCTTGGTGGTCCCGCGAGGGGGCCAGCGGATTTAAAGCGGGGCACCGCAAGCACCACATGCACGGGCGTGAGCCCGAGCACGCCCTCTGCAGTCATATGTGGAGCTCCCTGTGGGCCACGAAACGCTTGAGGCGGGGGGGGGATGCGAAAGAGGCGCTGGGGCGCCATGCGGGCCCGCCCGCCGAGGCCATGGGTGGAGCTCCCTGTGGGGCACGAAGCGTGCGGGGGGGCGGGGAAGGTGCCGACACGGGCGAGGGGGTGCCATGCGAGCACGCCCGTTGAGGCCATAGGTGGAGTTCCCTGTGTGGACACGAAACGTGTGAGGGGTGTGCCGATATGGGCGCGGGGACGCCATGCGACCACACCCACTTGGGCCACAGGTGGGCCCCGTGTGGGGCCACGTAGCGTGTGAGGGGTGTGCCGATATGGGCGCCGAGACGCCATGCGAGCACGCCCATTGCTGGAGTGGGTGCAGTTCCCTGTGGGGTCACGAAACGTGTGAGGGGTGTGCCGACATGGTGCAGGGCAGGAGGAGAAGGAGGAAGAGGAGGAGCAGGATCGCCCCCGTGACTCATCCCTCAACCCCCCAACCCCCCGGCCGGATTTCTTTTCTTCTTTCCGCGGGGGGTCAACCTTCGCGGCGACCCGTTAAACCCGGGACCCCTGGCGGCGCATGGATTTCTTTCCTTCTTCCCCGCGCGCGTTGCCGTTGGAACCCCTGGACCCCTCCGACTACCGTACAACTCGTACTTGAGTACAACTGGTACTATCATGTCCTATCGCGCAGTTGTTCCTATGTTGGGTTTCCAATGTATTAGGTTTCCAATATATTGGGTTTCCAATGTATTAGGTTCCTAATATATTGGGTTCCCAATATTTTGGGTTTCCAATATATCGGGTTTCTAATATATTGGGTTTCGAATATATTGGGTTTCCAATATAGTGGGTTTCCAATATATTGAGTTTCCAATATATTTCGTTTCCAATATACTGGGTTCCCAATATATAAGCCCGAACCCGAACCCAAACCTCACCAGCTGTAATTCAGTTGTTCCCGTACTAATACAAATCCCTAGTGCAACCGCGATTAAGGTGTTGTTGCATTGCACTTACAGTCTCGGCTCTCACGCTTTTCTTCCTCTGGTTGCGCTTGGGGGGGTGGGGCCCCTCGCGCGGGCACCCCCCGCGGCTGGGAGTTCATTCCTCTTCCGGAATTTGAGGGGGGGGGGTAACCCCCGTGCTCGAACCCCATCGCCAGGGTTTTTTCTTTCCTCCGCGGAAGCCGGACCCCCTGGGTTCTTCGGCGCGCCCCATTTGTTTTTTCTTTCCGGTTGGGCCTCCATGGGTCTTAGGTTGGAGTCACCCGGGTGATGGAGCAGGAGGAGAACCAGTGCAAGTCGAAGGTTCATCATCGATGTCGGAGTAAACCCTCCCCCCGAGCTGAGCTCCTCTGTCATAGGCCCCAACAAGGGTTCATTTCCACTGAGGGGGCTGCCCCATTGGGAGGGAACCGTTTGAATATTCCCAAGTGCGCCAAAGCACCATTCTCGAAACTTCAACGCCGCTAATCAACCTGACTGTTGCGTCTTGACGATTCTGAATCGTGCCATAATACCATTCGTGGAACTTCAGCACAGCGAAACAACGTAATTGTTGCACCCTCATAATCTTGATTTGTTTCAAGACGCCGTTTCTGGTACGTCGACCATGTGATCCCGTGAGACTGTTGCGTCTTGACGATTCTGAATCGTGCCATAATACCATTCGTGGAACTTCAGCACAGCGAAACAACGTAATTGTTGCACCCTCATAATCTTGATTTGTTTCAAGACGCCGTTTCTGGTACGTCGACCATGTGATCCCGTGAAACTCTTGTACTGCTCAATAAGGAATGTGCGCGGCGCTACGGCGAGAGCCACATTTTGAAAAGGAACCGCCCTCAATCCGTGAAGCTCTTGCAGATGTTTTGCAACACATGTGCGCGGCGCGAAGGCGAGAGCCACATGTTGAAAACGACATGCCATCAATATGTGAAGCTCTTGCAATGTTTTTCAAAACGAATGTGCGCGGCGCTCAGGCGAGAGCCACATGTTGCAAACGGCCCGCCCTCAATCCGAGAAGCTCTTGCAACATGTTAAAACGAATGCGCGTCGCCCAGGCGAGAACCACATTTTGAAAACGACCGGGCCCCAATCCGTGAAGCCCTTGCATTTGTTTAAAACGAATGTGCGCGGCGCTCAGACGAGAGCCACATTTTGAAAACGACCCGCCCTAAATCCGTGAAGCTCTTGCAAACATTGTCAACGAATATGCGCGGCATTAATGCGAGAGCCACGTGGTGAAAACGTTCTGCCCTCAACCCCCTAAACTCTGCCCCGAATGCGGGCGGCGCTAAGGCGAGAGCCACACGTTGAAAACAACCCGCCCTCCATGTGTGAAACTGTTGCAAATTCATCAGCTTCACGGTCATAAGTGGTGAGGAAGTCTCAGGCGAAACGCTCGACCCTACAAACCGGCGTCGGGGTGCGACAGGGATAAGTTGTTCATAAGGAGCAGGAATGGAAGAGGAGGAGGAGGAGGAGGAGGAAAGTGAGACGCGCGGCATTGCGAACTCACAACGAGGACTCAACGCACAGGAGGGTCGGGAATTGCCCATAGAGGCGCCTGCCTGGCGTGGTGCAACGGCGCGATGATTGCGCTGCTGATCTGCATCCACAAGGAAGAGACCTCTCGGTGCTCGTGGGCTCTGTGCACGGGGGTGGGGGGTCAGGAAGCGGAAGTTGGAGGAGGAGAAAGAAGAGGAGGAGGAGGAGGAGGAGGAGGAGGAGGAGGAGGAGGGGAGGAGGAGGAGGAGGACGGCGAGGAGAGAGACGAGGAGGAGGAGGAGGAGGAGGAGGGAGGAGGAGGAGGAGGAGGGGCGGACGTAGGAGGGAGGGTTTTCTTGGAGGCCTCTTGGGGCCGTCAGCTGTCTTTGGGGCCTCTCGGGCCGTCCTTGGGGCGCTCTGAGGATTCATTGTTCGACATAGTCTAAAAGATGGCTCGTCGGGTGGGGGCCTCCAGAGGCGCAGAGGTCTGCTCCTGCCTCGGGGGGCCCTGGAGGCGGACGTTCGTCACCATGCTCTCTCGGGGGTTGCCCAAGAGGGGGTGATGACATGTTCGTCGTCGAATGGGGAAGGTGGGGGGGGGAATTTGTTATTCGATCTTGGAGGTTGTGTCGCCTCGGGGTACTTTCCAGCGGCTTTGCCTCGCCGGTTCCAGGTCGACGCTCCCCCCACTGAGCCAGTCCCTCCTATAACGTTCCCCCCCCAAGCTGGGTTTGAACATCGTGGCCGGGGACATGGCATCTCCCGGATGTCATGGGGTGCCCTCTTATTCTTTCAACGCGTTCCCAGGCCCCCACCTTGGCCTGGGGCAACTGCGGTAACGCCCCTCTCCTTGGCCTTTTCTTCGGCGCGCCCAGCTCTCTCTCTCTCTCTCTCTCTCTCTCTCCCCCCCTGTGCTGCTGCTGCTCTTTGTTTTTGTTCGTGTTCCAGCTCCTGTTGGCGGCGCGCACTAGTGGGCGTAGGTGCGCGCGAAGGCGAGGCCTTCCAAGAAGGTGGGGGGGCTTCTAAGAAGACATGGGCCTTTCCCCTAAAAAGTTTGTTTGGAAGGGCTCTAACTCATACAAGCAACTGGCAGATGCGCTGCCGGATCTAGAATCGGGCGGGCGACGTTGCTTCCCGTTGCTTTTCATGGTCTCCCCGGGCCTCCCGCTGCCTTCCGTGATCTCCCGTTGCCACCCGTGGCCTTCCATTGCCGTCCCTACCTCTGTCGCTTTAACCCCTATCCCATATCCCCATCCCGATTCCTATCCTTGTATCCTTATCCCCATCTCCCGAGGAAAATCCCTATCCCAATCCTCCCATCTTGACCCCCCATCGTGGCCCTCAATTGTAACTGCGTGATCCTGTTTAAAGTCGTCTGCCGCAAAAGGTGCCATGTATACGGGGCAGGGCCCTGGGGGCGCCCGAGAAGCCTTCTCGGGCGCCTGACGGGCCCTCTGAGAAGGCCCCTGATTTCTTAGACCCCCCCTCCTGCTTCGTTGGAAGGCCGCCCCCCTCGCGCCGCTCTCCTTGTGCGCGCCGCCAAAGTTGGTTTGGAGGAGGAGGTGGTGGGGACGGCGCGGGAGGAGCATGGGGAACGGTAGCCGAGGAGGAAGAGGAGGAGGAGGAGGAGGAGGAGAAGGAAGAGGAGGAGGAGGAGGAGGAGGACCAGTGTAAACCCAAGACCCATCAACGATGTTGGTTTAAACCCTCCCCCCAAACTCCCTTATCATATGCCCCAACAAGGGTTCATTTCTACTGAGGGGAGTGCCCCGTTGGGAGAGAACCGTTGAAGGATCCTGAAGCGTGCCAGAGCATCATTCTCGGGACTTCAACGCCGCTTATCAATTTGGCTGTTGCGTTTTGACGGTCCGGAATCGCGCTAGAACACCAATTCGTGGGGCTTCAACGCCGCGAATGACCGTAATTGTTGCGCCCTGACAATCGCGAATCGCCCCAACATACCAGTACGTTAACCATGGGGATCAGTGAAACGCTCGCAAAGTTTCAAGACGAATGCGCGCGGCGCTCACGCGATATCCACATTTTGACAAGGAGTCGCCTTCAATCCGCGAAGCTCCTGCAACTTGTGAAGACGGATGTGCGTGACGCTCAGGCGAGAGCCACACTTACAAAATTAGCCGCCCTGAATCCGCCAACCTCTTCCACGTTCTTTAAGACGAATGAGCGCGGCGCTCAGGCGAGGGCCACCTTTTCAAAACAGCCCGCCCTCAATCCGCAAAACTCGTGCAGATGTTTAAGACGAGTGCGCGCGGCGCTAAGGCAAGAGCCACATGATGAAAACAGCCCGCGCTCCATGTGTGAAACCGATGCCAGTATTTCAGTTTCAGGGCCATAGGTGGTGAGGAAGTCCTCGGCGAAACGCCCAGGCCACCTTGTCGACTGGTCTCGGTGTGCAACATGGGAGGAGTTATTTACAACGAAAACGAATGGAGAAGGAGGAGTTGCATCAGGAGGAGGAGAGGAGGAGGAGGAGGAGGAGGAGGAGGAGGAGGAGGAGGAGGAGGAGGAGGAGGAGGGGGAGGAGGGGGAGGAGGAGGAGGAGGTGGAGGAGGAGGAGGAGGAGGAGGCGGTGAGGGAGAGGGAGAGGGAGAGGGAGAGGAAGAGCGCAACAGTTAGGGTGGCAGGTCGTCCAGGCATATCGGGGCTTGACTGCCGTGCAGGCCTACCTCACGTCGGCGGGAGGTGCCCCATGTCGGTGGCGCAACGCACCCTCCCCCCTGGCGCGGTCTGTAGGGGACCCCGACTGGAAAGAGAAACGGGTCTGTGGCGATCAGGGCGTGACACGCCCCATCTGCACATCCGAGCATACGGCGCCAGCTTCGAACGCGGTTTGGCATGTGCGCTTCGGTGCCTCAGTGAACCGTAGCGCCGCCCGGGTGCATGCCGTCTCACGGTGTTCTTGGCCCTTCCGCCCGGCGGGCGCGCGCCGATGATGGGAGCTGCTCCGCAGACCTGGGGGGGCGAGCAGCTCCTGCAGTGCTGACGTAACAGCAATGGCATCAGTTCCGCAGATACCTCCACGGACCCAGATCGCGTTGTCTGCTGGGCCGAGGACCATTTGGACTACATTCTGCAGGCGCTTGACCTTTGTGCGGCCCAGTTGGTCAATTGGTCCCTCTGTCCTGGCGTGGGCGTGGTCGCATCAGCAGTCCTACGGAGGACAATGGCTTGGATTCCTTTCCTTGGGTACTTCGTGCCGATGAGTCCCAGGGCGGCAAGCGCAAGAGGCCTACCCTGTCGGCGGAGTTGCTGCAGGAGCCGGCTGCCCTCCTCCAGTGCGCGAAGGGGTATGCCGCCAGTGCACGATGTGCCGTCTTCCGCCCGGTGAGGAGCAAGACCAGCGCACGATCTGCACGATGCGTGCAGGGGTATGCTGGGGGCTCAAAGAATATACGCCACCACCACGTCGATTCCTCCTCTCTCCTCTTTCCAGCGAGAGGGAGGGGGGGAGGGAGGTGGTGGGGGGGGTACATTTTTGGGCCCCCTGCATGCTGCCAGTGCACGATGTGCACGATGAGAACATTCAGTGTTACGCATCCCGGCTTATGATTGGGGCGGTGCCGTTGCCTTGGTGGTCGACGGCGGGGGCTGTGGGCCCTGGTGGGTCACAGTTGGAGCCCGTTGTGTGCATCAGGGAGTAGCGCAGCATGGTGTAGTTGATCGTGCTTGTCCCTCACAGTTCCATCAGCTCGCGTCTTACCTTGTGTCGATTGGAACGATGTTGTTGGCAAATGGTGCTGATGAGCGGGTTCGTTGTATGCAGCGACGGTTCGGTCGACGCCGCCATTGCTGTGGAGTGCGGCGACGCAGGTTTCCCGTCGGGACAGGCTGCTATCCAGTAAAGCTATCTTTTGGCGGCCCTTGTCTGGTGGCTCAGGCTGCTGAGGATTGGTACGCTCATGGCGAGGACCTTCCAGTCGCTCGCGCGTGTGCTGAAACGAGTGTCAAACGAATCGGTCCCGTACGAGCGGCGCGGTTGCGGTCCCATTGGGCTGAAGGGCGCGGAAGATTTCGTGTCCTGGCTACGCTCTGGGTCCGCTACTTTCGAGCCGAGACTGGACAGGGAGAGCCGAGACTGGAGAGGGGGACGGAAGCGGAGGCGGAGGCGTCGGAGGAGGAGCGGGAGAACGAGAGAGAGAGGGGGAGGGAAGAGGAGGAGGCGGCGCTCGGAGGAGGATGGAGAGGTGGAATGGAGAGGTGGAGGTGGATGGCGGGGGCGAGGGGCGCCAGCGAAAGAGCACAGCCAAGGTGCCTTGCCATTGCCTGTGCTTCCGCTCCCCTTCCCGCCCCCCCTGAGCGGCGCGCGGCTGGCCCGCTCCCGACCGGCGCCCGGCCATCTTAGGGTGGAGGGCCCGAAGGGTTCGGGGGCGGCCAAGAGGGGGGGTGATGACTAGGGGGGGGATGTCATGGCGGGGGCCATGATATCTCAGATTTCATGGCGCCTCTTCTTGTTCCAATACGTTCTGTGGGCCCCCCTGGTCCGCGCACATGCCGCCAGCCATGATTTGCACCCCCCCTCTTGGACGCCCCCCTCTTGGCCGCCCCCGACAGTGCGGGTTCTCGCCAGGTTGATATAAAGCATGCGCGGCTCAAACAGCCAGCAGATCACGGACGTCGGACGCCGCCCTCCCGCCGCGGTTTTTTCCTTGGCCTTGCGGGCTGGGAGGCCCAGGAGAACACACACACAAACAAACACACACGCACACACGCACACACGCACACACACACACACACACACACACACACACACACACTTTGTCCTCCCCTAAAATCCGAGCGTTGCAAGTTGTTTCATACCGGGCGTTTTCGCCCCGTTTCGGGACTTGAGACCATCAAAGATCCGGTTCGAAAAATTCAGCTGAATGATGGTGTCTAGGGCTCTGGTTGTGAGTCTTCGCGATGTTGCAATGTGTGTGTGTGTATGTGTGTGTGTGTTCGTCATGGCGGATCTCAGGGACAAGGTCAGTTCAGGTTGCCCTCATGGGTCCGTCTTGGTTTTTTGGGGAGTCGTCTCGGGGACCCGGGGCCCTCCTTGGGCCACCTCGGAACCCTTTCGGGGGGGGCCTCCTGCGCCGCCTTGGGGCGAGTTTTGGGGGCCTCGTCCAGGCTCCTGCCCCCCTTCCCGCCCCGCGGGCGGCGCGTGGCCCGACCGCTCCCGCACCCCCCCCCCCGCGAGGACGAGGAGGGCCTCCAGACGCACAACCTCCGCGCGGGCTTCCGCCGTCCCGTCCCCCCCGTTCCCCCTTGTCGAAGCGTCTGCGCGCGGACGCGCGGCAGCCGCCTGGGGAAGCCAGAGATCTCCCACAGTGGTAGTTGTACTGTTGAAGACACGAAAAGTCGAGTCTAGCAACTCCAGTAGCTGTTCTCGTCACCGTGATAGTCCGCAGTTAGTTCTCCAGTTTGCTGGTGTAGCTGAGCAGGTCCTGAGGCAGAATCCCCATACGGAACCGCTGGGGCGAGCCGAACAACAGAGCATACTCACAATTGTGCCTCGATTCTCATTCGCCCTCTCTGCTGCTGGGGGGCATAGGGGGCAGGAGGGGATGCGAAATCTGCTGCGTGCAGCTGGTGTTGGCCCCGCCGCTGGGCGCTTTCCGTGAGACATCGCCGCCTCCGGCGCCGGGAGGCGCCAGGAAAGTCAGCCACGCAAGCTGATTCGTTAGACCCCCTTAATCATCGCAATATCCTCCCTCGTCCCCCCATCCTCCCCGCGCGCGTTTTGCGCGTCTGCGCTGCACCTGCACGCGTCTGGCGTGTCGCCCAGCTGCTTCCGCACGTGCTTGGCGTGTCTCAGGTCTGATCCCCAAGCGCCCTTTGCACGCGTTTGGCGTTTCGCCCGGCTGTTCAGGCGCGTGTTTGGCGTGTCTCAGGCTTGTGACAACGAGTCCTGCTGGACGCGCGGCTTACTGACTGACTGACTGACTGACCGACAATCCGGGCGTTTCTCCGTGAGTTCGGTCTCCTGGGTGCCGTTGAATGGCTCCTGGGGTAATCAAATATGGGCCCTAGACTGAAAACAAGGGCTCGGGACGTCCATGTGGTCATTTTCTTATTCATTGTTTTGCCCATCGGCGCGGGCCCTCGCACCCCCCCTCCGCCCCCCATGGAGTAGACCTTGGCTGTTTTCGGCGCCTGCTTCAAGCAGGTGGAGGCTCACCCATAGGAAGCACTGCTGCAAGCAGTCGCATTAAGCAGAGGTCCAGAGCCAGACCCCCCCCCCTCCCCCCCTCCTTCCGCCCAATGTCGAAACGCCGATTGAGACTAAGAACACGTTCGCCATGGGGCCAGTCCTTTGGAAAGATCACGTCGTCGGACTCCTGGGTCCGGAGGCGAGAGGGGTGGGTGCCAGAGGCAACGTTACATGGGGGCGGTAGGCTACTGTTAGGTCGGGCATGTCTTGCTACAGGCGGATTCGGGGATTTGGAATGACAAATAATCAAAGGGTTGCCAAAAAGAGTCAAAACAGCACGAAGCATCGGCACCATGTTATTTTTTGACATTTTTTTGAGTATTCTTCGTGTAGAGGGACATGCCCAGCTTGAGGCGCGTGGGTCGGAGGAGACCCATACGGCTACCCTTCAGCGTTTTCGCCCTTTTTGGAGCCTCCTGGGAGGCCCCTGTCGCCACCGCTGGATTCGTTTCGAAATCCTGATCAGGACGCACCCTGTGAGAGGTCTGGGGAGGCGCGGTGTCGGTACCTCCTGTTTTCCCCAGTGGGGGGGTGATAGGCTAATGGGAGGATGCATCGACCCTCAATCGCCTACTCATCGCCGAGGGCCTTGATAGTCCGATGTATCGCCGATTCCAGGTCGACGTTTGCCTCTGTGTTCTTCTACGTGCCATCGGATGCACCCGCAGCGTCCGGGTCGGTGGACGCGCAGCCACGGCGTCTATAGCTTCATCAGCATAAACAGCCAGCAGATTAGG